CCATGCAGAGGGACCTTTTTAGGTGTGGATCTGAGGGACACAATCTGGAACCATCTTTACTCAACAGTGTAGGGACTCACTGCATTAGAGGACCCATTAAGGTGTATGTTTCCTTTCAAAGGGAGTGCACACTTCAATAATAATGACACATTGACAGCATACTGATCAGTTTAAGTATGGGTTGATTTCTATTCAATACTATTCCATATATTGCCTATCAAGGACTAAACAAACAGACATGTGCACAGTGGCAGAATAAGCACAAGTTTAGAGTGATATCATCTCACAAAAACTATTTTTACTTGTACTGTGTACAGCTTCCTTAATATAAATGGAAGACTGCCATCTACTGTTGATATCAGTATGTTTTTTATATATACAAACTTCGATATATACTTTCAGTAGGGCCTGCTCCAAGTCAAAGTGAAGTCAACTGGCCCATAGTAGCTAGTGAAACAGCAAGAACTAGATGGCTCTTTTTAAAAAAATGAAATAAGGTGACGTAGGTTGAATAAAAATTACTTTAAATAAGATAAATGTCAGGAAATCAGGTTGCTTGACACTTGCTTATTAAAAAGAACAGGAGTACTTGTGGCACTTTAGAGACTAACAAATTTATTAGAGCGTAAGCTTTCGTTGGCTACAGCCCACTTCATCAGATGCACAGAATGAAACATATAGTAAGAAGTTATATATATGTATATATATATACACACACACACACACACATATATATACATACAGATAAGGTGGAAGTTGCCATACAAACTGTAAGAGGCTAATTAATTACAGTTTGTATGGCAACTTCCATCTTTTCTGTATGTATATCTATCTATATCTGTATCTCTTCTTACTATATGTTCCATTCTATGCATCCGATGAAGTGGGTTGTAGCCCACGAAAGCTTATGCTCTAATAAATTTGTTAGTCTCTAAGGTGCCACAAGTACTTCTGTTCTTTTTGCGGATACAGACTAACACGGCTACTACTCTGAAACCTTGCTTATTAAAGAATTTCAGATTGAATTTTAATTTACAAAAAAGTATAATAAAATAGATTGTTAATGTATAACTACTTTCTAATTTGAAGAATGACAGGATAAGGCAATTTTGTGAGTCAGAGTGAACATTTTACATAGTTAGTTTTGCTACTACATTCATTTGAATAATCAAACTAGATTTCCCCCCCCAATCATTTCTCTCTATCAAAATGTATCTATCAAATACTGGTTGGTTGCATCTCCCTCACTGACAGTACTTATATCAGGTTATTCCAAATAAATATTTTTTTAAACTAAAATGATTGGTTCCGTCAATAAGATGCATACACAGCCATGTTATTACTGATCACCACTTTGAATGTAACCAGCCTCTATTTTTGATAAATGCCTCAGTAAATCAATCTATGGTCATAACATGCAAGTTCTTTAGCATTATGGTCTACTTAACATAGCACAATTTGTTAGGCTGACTAAGTTTCCTTGCTCCAGTGTGATCCAAATAGCCAAACCCAATACAGTCTTGTGTCACCCTTGCACATTAAAAATATAAACACAGACTCGTGCTATCTGTGAAGGCTGATAATTTATTTAGATATGCCTTTAAGAACCCTCTCATATGCTACCAGTGCACTATCGTACAGCTAATGACAATTTCAGAAAACAGATCTGTGGTGCAATTTATACTTAAAAAGATAACTAGACAGTATAGTATGTTTTTTCACCATTATTTTGTATTAGTTTGTCAATATATTTGAATTTATAAATAAATATTTTCAGGACTAAACACTCTACTTCTATTTGTAATTATTATTATTATTATTTAACTTTGCAAAACCTCCGAAACACAATTAAACATTTTCTCTGGAGTCTTTTTTTCAGACTTGACAATACCCACTGCTGGCAGAGATAAAAAGAGTACACCTAGAATATTTTTAGAAAACAATATGGGACTTTAGTTTCTTTGGAAATGTAATCCTTCCAAATGAAGAGAAGGGTCCTTCTGAAACACAGAACATCAATCTTGATTTTCTCAAATTCGCCTTCCCAGTTCAGAGTACAAATCAGTGGATTGAGTTAATCGTTGTTTCCTGCCAAAAGGATTCAATATTTTCTAAGTTTAGTCTGAACACAGAGATTTCAGCTACTTGTTTTCAGGGATTTTGTTCCAGGAAATTAATTTTGTTTTGAGAAAAAATAAAAAATAAAAGATGTACTTTAGTCCTTGAAGTTTCAAAGCTTTCGTGTTGGTGTATCACAGTAAGGAACATTGTCTAGTAGCAGATCTTTCCTGGGTATAAGCACTGTAACAAACAAACAAAATCAGAAAGAATAATATTTTATCATAACTATCTACAAAAATATACATGGCCTTTAATATTTTTACAAGCAATGAATAAGCACTATTGTAATTTCCTAAGCCAACAAAAATGTACTAACATTTTACCTTCTGTTCATCAGAAATCTCTTCCACCTCCTCCACCTAATTTGCTGTTAAAAACATCCTTGAAAATATTTTAACTGTCTATCATTGCTACATTTAGCCATTTCTCTTGTGAAGACATATTAGCAAAACAGGATAGCAAATTAGAACGTTTCTGGCAATCCTGATTCTAATGTATTTAAAACATACTTTAAAATATACAGACACCTCCTTTACAATCTGTAACATTTATCAATGCTGTACCTGTTCTTTTAAGAACAGCAGAAAAATCAAGCATCAGGTGACATTTATTGCAGGAGAAAAGAGCAGTGTGTTGGATTTTTCTTGGCTGTGCACTGTGCTAACTGCCCTTGGCTCTAATAAAGTTTTGACCATCTGGCTCCTTGGATATCCACTTGGGAGTTTGCACCTGAGGGCTGTCAGATTTGTACAACTGGCACCACTTACAAGCTGAGGCACCATGGCCGCAAACACAATCCTGTACTTTGACTAGTCAGGCAAGTACTAAACAAAGGTACAGTAAACTTCTAAAACACTCCAAATTCCATTCCATGTGTGTAATCAGTCACATCTCATCCAAAGTATGCTGTTTTTCCATATATTATAGAAAAAGCAAGGAAATTGCTTCCCTTAAAGCTGCATTTCTTTTTCATTTTCTGGCCATGGTACTAAAACAGTATTTAACACATTTTTAAATGGATTGAATAATATTTTGTTTGTGTTTTACCTATGAAGGAAACATTTGTACCCCAGTGTTCACATGTATTTTTTTCCTCTATGTTTTAGGGACAAGACTGTGTGCATGAGAGAGAAATACAAGTATCAAACAGAAGAGAGGAGGAAGAACGGACAAATAAAAACAACGATGAGTCCGGTGGCACCTTAAAGACTAACAGATTTATTTGATGCATCTGAAGAAGTGGGGTTTTTTACCCATGAAAGCTTATGCCCAAATAAATCTGTTAGTCTTTAAGGTGTCACCGGACTCCTCATTGTTTTTGTGGATACAAACTAACCCAGCTACCCCTCTGATACTTGGACAAATAAAAAAAGACTCCTAACCTCTCACTGAAAAATAAAGTTTGGCACACATCTCACCCATCACTATAGCAAACCCAAAGTCAAAACCATCAGGATGCATTGCATATTTGGTAAATTAGGGTGAGAAAAGCTCTGCTTGTATCAGTTTTCTCTGCAAAATAAAAATAAGTTGACTAGCGCCAACTCTCTTGTACAACAGTGGATAATTTGACTTGACAGGCTGCACAGCAATGTCTCAAAAAATCTGTTTGGTGAGATTCTGAATAATGTGACTAACACAAGCTCTTAGCTGCAAATCTCTTTTTGTTAGCATTTTTAAAACTTTTTTCACACATGACTGTCCAGTGCTGGCAGAAATAAAAAAAGAGTACACCTAGGATATTTTTAGAGAACAATATAGGACATTAGTTTCTATGAAAATGTAATCCTTCCCAATGAAGTGCATCTTTATATCCCTCTCTGCACGACAGCATAATATTCTGATCACAGTTTCATAAACTCTTTAATGGTATTCCAAGAACAACCGATGAGATCAGGAATGTAGTCAATGCCACAGAACTGTAGGTCCATCTAGTTCAGCATGCTGGATGATAGTGATCAGTACCAGATGCTTCCGAGAAAGGTGCAACAAACCAACTACTGGATAGTTATGGAATACCCTGTTCACAGAGAAAGACTCTTCTTAGCCTCTGGCACTTAGTAATTGGCCTATTACCATGAAGCATAAGGGTTTGTGTATGCTTTCTAAAAAATGCTTTGCTTTTATCCCATCTAATGTAACCATTAATTCTTTCATTATGCAGCTGAACATCTACTTTCTTTTTTGAACTCCAAGCTCTTGGCCTCAAAGGTATTTTGTGTCAATAAGTTCCACAACTTAATGATGTATTGCGTAAAACAGAGATGCCTTTCCTTTTATCAGTTTTAAATTACTGTCTTTCTAACATCCTGGAATGTCTCCTTTTTCCTTTATAATGTAAACGTGTAAACAGGAGTACCCTATTTACCTTTATTACTATTCATTACATTCTGAACCTCTAGAATGACCCCTTTGATCCATCTCCTTTATAACAATTCCGTTCTTTTACTTAGGAGAACCTAAAAATAAACAGCAGAAGAATAAAGAGATAGACATGCCCAATTTCTTTATTGTTCTTGCAAAAAGGGGATTTCAAACCATAGACCACAACTTCATATTTGGGTACAGGGATCCAAAGCCTTCTCAATCTGACATACAGTCCAAATCACACACTTAATGCATAATTTTCACACTTTTTTTTTTTAATACTCAGGCTGACTTCAGCTGGCCAGTTAGAGCAATATGAAGAAAAAGTAAAAATTTTCATTAAGGTGGTGCTTAGAGGCCCCATCATGCTACATGCTGAAGAGGCAAAGCTTGAACTCATTCAAGACTGACAGAGAGGAAACACTAACAAGTTAGAAATTCCAAAGAGACATCCCTAATGTTTTATGTACCATTACGCATTAAGGAAGTTGACAGAAAGGACGACACCTTGCTTAAATGAGTTTGTCACTGTTTATTACACAAAAGAAGAGACATAAAAATGATACAGGGAGCACTTACACTTTCCCTGTAACCTGAGTCAGATCTAGAACACACTTCTGACATACATGGATATGTGAAACTGATCCACAATGCACGGGTTTAAGTTTTATTGAAAATAGACAAAGAAAGTTAAATACATAAAAGGCACTCTTATCAATTAAAGTTTCAGGATACAGAACTTCATGATGTTGACTCTAATTTAGTTTTCCTACATGGGAGATAAATGACTCCTAGAGCTAAAGGCCAGCCTCTACCAATCCCATTCCTTCTCCCTCTCATCCTTGTTCACTCTTCATTGACCCACACTCAGTCCTCATACATTATTTCCTTTTCTTCATTCTCTCACCTTAGCAGAGGGATGGGCCATCTGGGATAGAATTTAATTTCCCCAAATGTAGGAGATGGAGAGGAGCTGCTTGAGACTGTATCTATTTTCCCCACAGTGGTGGCAACACAGAGCAAGAGCAGGTGCCTACAACAATGCCCATTTCTCCAGCAGATGCAGAAAGAGGGGGGACATGGGCAATTTTTATGGTGATAATGACAGAAGGAGTCCCAGCAAGCTCAGAGCTGGCACAGGCTTCCCCGCAACAGGAGATGAAAGAAGGAAGAGGGTGAAGGCTCTCCTGAAGCGTGTCACAGACTGAGCTCTCTGGGATGCCTGAAAGCCATGAACATGTATGCTTAGAGGGAACATCAATCACATGTAGGACTATGGGAAACTTGAGGGCCTCTACAAGACTTTTTCGGGGTTTATACTGGTTCACTTTTTGAGTTTGACAATTTCAGATTTGAATTAACCCAATACTGCAAAGTTTTGACTGGCGCTGGGTCAAAACCAATCAAGCAAGCATCACAAATCTTCCACCAGACACCATAATTCAGCCTAGCCTTTCAAATCTAAATGATCCTGGCCCAAGTTTGGGATAAATAATATACAACACGAAAACAAAAGGAAACACACACCCTCAGTTTCAGGTTTTGTCACTGACGTTCAGCACAGTTCTAAATACCATTAAAAAAGAAAAAAAAAGGAGATGCTGGGCAGCTCTACTTACTCAGAGTGTCAGAACCTGTGTGAAGTCCCTGTATAACAGATGTTCTGAGTAGAACTTCAACATCTGAACCTATTTTCATAAGCTGGTAAAGAAAAAACAGAGCAATTAAAACAGTGCAAAATTACTCTTGTAGACATTTGCCATGTTTGGTAAGTATATAAAAATACTGACGACATTTGATTTATCGTCTGAATAATAGGACATCTTGTATTTACATAGTGCTTTTTATCCTGGAGGATCCCAAAGTGCTTATGAATCGATACATCACTCACTCTGGTGTATGGTTGCCTGGGATGGAAAAAGTCTACTGTTTGATAACACACACAGCAATAGAAAATACTGTATTTAATTGAAACTGTAGGAGGATATTTAGGTAGGTGGATTACCAGAGAAATTATATTTTAATTTGTGTCCAATTATCCTGAACTCCAGGAGGAACAGCTTGCAAGAACTGTCATCAAGCAGTCAGGTTCTTTACAGTTCTGGTAAGTTTTGGACTTCTCTCCCTTCTTTTCCTCCCCAATCTGAGAAGAGGAGTCAGTGGTGCCACAGGAAGGAGACCAAAAGCAGCAGGAGTGGCTGGGGGAAGGGGCAGTCCCCCTCTCCCTAGAGATCAGCAGTATTAGGAGTGTGTGGTTACAACACTGTAATCCTTTTCCTATCGGAGAGGAAGCATGACAGAGGTCTCCATGTGCATGCCCCTTGCCAAAGACAGTACTTGTTAATTGGCTAGTACTTATTTGTATGCAGCACCTTCCTGCAATGTATACAGCTGCACAAGTGAGAAGCCTAGGGGGAACAGAGTTTCTTACACTGCAAAATTTCTCAGGTAGTTATTCTTCACTTCTTGTCCTAAAAAGCTGTTTAATGTCATGGGCTGGAAAACGTGCTATAATCTACTCTGGCAGTGGATGAAACAACAAATAAATATAGTCAAGATTTTGAAAAACGGATGCCTGAAATTAGGCACCGAAGTATATACATGGATACCTGAATAGGAGGCCTGATTTTCAGAAGTACAGAAGTGCTTGGGGCCGAACAGTTTTGATTGTGTCTGTAAAGCACTCTTTGGTCCAATTCTTCTGCATTAATGGCACTTCAGCATATAAATGCACAATAAATTATTAAACGTGACAGGTTGTGTTTTTTTCCCCCACCATGGATACCATCATGGCCTTGCTGGAGACCAAGAATTTTATCCACTGATGTTTCACTCAATGAATAGGCCAATTAACTAGCATCAAAAGAAGAGTCAATATTAAACATGTGCACTTTTTAGATCACCACTCCGTACAAATGTAGCTTTGGAAATTTTACCTGGCATCTTATCTGTACATCAGTTAAAACAGTGTCATATCATTAAATTAAAAAATAGAAGACAGAACTTGATGCCTAGGACACACGCACAGAAATATTGCTGCTGTTGCTGAGCAACAATCAGACACGTTACAGAGAGTCTTGAACAAATGTTCAGAAGCGTTAACGTCAGTGATATGTGGGTGCTAGGATGCAAAGTACTGAACTGATTGTCTTAGTTTGTTTTTTTCTACAATATATGCTGACATATAGATGTGGTTTCTTCTAAGTCCTCCCCTCGTGGACTCAGGAGGAGTAGCATACATATGTCTACAAGAGGATTTCTAAAGAGAGAATTCAATGAATTGGAAAATAGGCTGAATTAGAAGAGTGACAACAATTAATTCACTTCTTCAGCATGTATGGTAAAATAAAACCTCCAGTTCACATTGTTTCAGTGTTAATAATTGCAGGCCCAAGAAAATTCATAATCTTACTGCTAATTAAAAAGACTTTGCAAACAGCTGGGAGAGTCTGAATTACATAGTGAGCTAAAAGGATTTTCTACACTGTAGTCCCTTAATTTACCAGAGAGATAAAGAAAGGTGAGATAATTAATGCATCTGTATTAACAATTCAATCACAAGCACTTCATTATTTGGGAGGAAAGGAGTTTGTGATATGATATGAGTCAGAACTACTAGGCCCTATTGCCAGCTTTGCCAATAACAGACTACATCTACACTAATGAGCTAGGGGGTGTGATTCCCATCTTGCATACACATACCCATTCTACTTTGATGTGAACTAGCATAAGTACATGTACACGAGCTGGGAATCATACCTCTAGCTCATAGCATAGATGTAGCCTCACTGTGTGACACTGGGCAAGTCACTTAACCTTTGTGCCCCATTTCACCCATCTGTAAAGTGAGTATAAGCGAGTCATTCATAGATTTTAAGGCCAGAGGGCCCATTATGATCATCTACTCTGATAATCAGTCTAATACTTAGCTTGATTGCATAAGGAGAAACAAGCAAAATATTTGCACTAAATGGACAATTTGGAAAAACAATTCTAATTTTGTTATGAACTTGAAAACAGGCAGAACAAAAATGGCTTTGAATTGTAAACATGGAAAACTGTTTCTCTTGCAGTTTTTAATGTGAAAAGTGACACCTGTAATTTTTACATAAACTGAGGGTGAAAGCAGGACACAAAATAGAAAATAAGTTTGTACACAAAGTTTCATGAAATTAACATTTTGAAATTCACAAAGCTCTGGTTGCGCCGCTCAATTAATGTTTGCAAAGTATTCTGAGATTCCTCTGATAAAAAAGATGCTGCTCTGATAAAAAAGATGCTGCTATGTGAATGTAAAGTATTATTAGACTTAATAGTATAAAATGGAGAACAGCATCACAATGAAAATACCTCTGCTATTCTCTCAGAAGAGGTCTCATCTTGATGGTTTCTGAATTCTTCATTTATCTTTTGTCTTGCAGCTAAAGGGGGCAAGTAAAATAAAGTTGTTTCGGTTGTTGTTTTTTTTTTTGTTTTTTTTAATTTCCTCACTTTATTATCAGTTCTTTGTCATTGGCTCAAAACCCACATTCCTTAGCAGCTAAAACCCATCTTCAGTAGACAAATTTGCCCCTTGTTTGTTGATGCTGCTCTACAGCCATGGTCCTTTTACTACCTATCCACTTCATGTTTCACTCAGACCACAGCCTTGTACTTCAAGATCTCTGTGGAACTTGAGTGATAGCATGTTTTAGCCATGGTCCTTTTACTACCTATCCACTTCATGTTTCACTCAGACCACAGCCTTGTACTTCAAGATCTCTGTGGAACTTGAGTGATAGCATGTTTTATTCCCACACCAATCACACCAGAAATGTGTTGTAATAAGATATGTTATTTAAAAAAAGAAGCTCAAAATACTACTATATATCACTAGTATTTGTATCTGCTCAGTTCAAATATGCATGTTCACTGTATGATGGAGTTGTGTTACTCATTTTAAGAACAACCATACACAAAGATGAACAAGTTGGGTGTTTGGTAGCCTAGGACACGCTCTGATAAGGCTGAGATTCACTGTTTTAGAAAATCAACAAGACTACAATTTTAAAACCATGGTTCTGTTCTACTTAACATTTTTTCATAATATTACAGTTTACAAAATTATTTACTAGCTTGATTCTAGCCAGAGATGTAATTTAATCTTTGGGAAGAAGATGTGAGTAAGGGGCAGCATGGATAAGGGAGAGATTCCCCCTTATTTCTCTGAGATGAGTGAAGGGGAAAATCACAACAATTTGAGGCAAATACTCTTTAATCATTATTTCCCTCCCTGCCTTGTTCCTCTATTCCAGACCTGCTCATGTGAGTGACAGATTGCTGCCATTAACAGAAAAATATTCAACCATTTGTTTTAAGGGAAAAAACAAATGTACAAAAAATTTACAAATAAATGTACAAAAAAGGGACGAAATTGGCCTTCCAAGCTTTATGAAGTTCTTTAACAGTTAACTAAATTTATTTGCAGAGTATGAAAAGTTGCATTTGGTTGCCCAGTGGACTGCTATGCACTAAACAAATTTATTTGCCTTTGACAGGGCTTATAAGAGACTGAAATCAGAGCCCAGGGTATTTTGTTTAAAATAGACTGTCAACTCCCTAACAGTAAGTGATGTGTCCCTCTCAACTCTGTGCTGGGAAATAATCTATGAAAATCATGAGATGAAATGAGACTATTACAAACTGACATTGTTTCTCTGCTTATTAATATACACTCCAGTGAACAAATGAAAAAAAATTACTTTCTGAAGAGATGAACTTCTGAGCTACTGGGACTGATATTTCTTTAGCTCAATATAACTGAAAAGCATTTTGAAGCACTACAGGATCCACAACCACACAATTTGCTCAATGACGGGATGACATTCTTAGCCCACTAATTTTAGACGGAGGATGCTTCATATTTGAACAATTCTCTGAAACAACATATGCAAGGGAAGGAGGCTGATTATAGTGCTGACCTTTTTCCTTAACACATTTAAAAAAAACGTATTAAGGGAACTATAAAAAAATCTCCTCCTTGCTTGGCTCCATACAGCTCATCTTGCCACCTTCCACTCTCTCCAAAAGGCTGCTGTTAAGAAGTTTGTTCCTTTCTTACACTGTTCTAACCATGCTAATCTCCCATGTACCTTCAATCTCTCTTACTTTTCTTCCACATAGGGCTGGTCTACACACAGTTACTGTGCTAATATAACTATTCTGGGTTACTAAAAAATCTTCTAAGTAGTAAAGGTAAAGCATGACCCCGAGTGTGACTGGTATAGCTTAAGCTTTTTAGAACACTGCACAAGACCAAGCAAGCTTAAACTACGCTCATATAAGGAAATTAATATCTGTCTGTGTCCATGCTAGGGAGCTATATCACTTTTTTAACTCATATAGTTATAGCAGTACAAAAAGCTGTGTAGATCAGCCCTTAAGGTATGGCTTCTAAAACTCACTTTCAAAGCCCTGTATAATTACACCACTGGCTCTTCCCCTCTGTCATTCCCTTCTGCTCCCTGGCTCTTTCCACCACAACCATTGCTTTTGTCGTCTTCTCTCTCTTTCCACCTGGCACCTTCTTCTATGCCAGTGCTTACACTTAGTATAGAAGAGATGCCTTTCTAAGTCACCCCTTTTTCCTTCAAATCTCTCCAAAAAATAGAAATAGAAAACAGAAAAAGAATACTAATTTTCCCCCAAGGCTTTTCAACAACACCTTTGCAGTGAGAACTGATCTGCTTCAAAAACAAATCATCCTCCACTATACTACAAACTTGTTAAAAATACCTGTAACCAGGTACAGTCAGGACCAGGACCATTTCTTCTTAGTATTAGAACAGAGAGCGCTCAATAAAGTTTTGTGAGGCATGCCTGGGAGTTGGGAACCTCAGGGCTTCTGGTTCTGTAGCAGCCTGCCAAGTAGAGTGCCCCCAAGTTGGAGACCCCAGGGCTTCCAGGGTCTACTGCTCTGGGGCAGTCTGCCCCACTCCCTCTTGTGAAGAATTTGGAAATATTTTGGTCTGTGTTCCCAACTGGAACAAAACCAAATTTCAAAATATTAAAATCCTCCGTGAAACAAAATTACGTTTCTCTGCACAGCTCTAATCAAAAAAGTGATCATGATGCATCCTCTTATTCTAGTAACTCAAAAAGACTGACAAACTGAAGGATGAGGTTTTTTTCTTTGTTTTTGCTTAGGTAACCGAACAATACAGTGGTAGTGATCTGTTCTATCACACTTGTGACTCAAGTTGATGACCTCTTCCATCTGTGGGGAAGGTATGAGTATCAGAGGGAAAATTACTTTTTGTAGTGACCCGGCCACTCCCAGTCTTTATTCAAGCTTAATTTGATGGTGTCAAGGCTGCAAATTAATTCTAGTTCTTCAGTTTCTCGCTGAAGTCTGTTTTTGAAGTTTTTTCAAATTAGGCCTGACTAAAGACTGGGAGTGACTGGGTCACTACAAAAGTAATTTTCCCTCTGTTGATATTCACATCTTCTTGTCAACTTTTGGGAATGGGCCACATCCACCCTGATTGAATTGGCCTTGTTAGCACTAACCCCCAACTTGGTAAGGCAACTCTCATTTTTTCATGTGCTGTATATTTATACCTGTCTACTGTATTTTTCACTCCATGCATCTGATGAAGTGGCTTTATAGCCCACAAAAGCTTATGCCCAAATAAATTTGTTAGTCTCTAAGGTGCCACAAGGACTCCTCATTGTTCCATCCGTTTGCTCCCTGGACCAGCAGAGGATACATGCAAACTTCACTCACAAAAGAAGAAAGAATGCTTTGCCCTGTTTGACTGAACCCCGTAAGCTGATTAAACAACAGCAGGTTCCATCTAGTTCAAGTCCCCTCAGACAGAGGGATGATTGTTGCATTAAGACAGTGGTTCTCAAAGCCGGTCCGCCGCTTTTTTCAGGGAAAGCCCCTGGCGGGCCGGACAGGTTTGTTTACCTGCCGCAGCCACAGGTTCGGCCGATCGCGGCTCCCACGGGCCGCGGTTCGCCGCTCCAGGCCAATGGGGGCTGCGGGAAGTGGCGCGGGCCAAGGGATGTGCTGGACGCCCTTCCCGCAGCCCCCATTGGCCTGGAGTGGTGAACCGCAGCCAGTGGAAGCCGCGATTGGCCGAACCTGCGGCTGCGGCAGGTAAACAAACCGGTCCGGCCCGCCAGGGGCTTTCCCTGAACAAGCGGCGGACCGGCTTTGAGAACCACTGCCCCTAAGAGACCTTCATGACAGGGGCATGCAGAAGGGAGGAGGGTCCTTAGAGCTTTTGTAGAGATGCAGAGGATCCACTAGGAAGACAAAAATTCTTACCTTCTAGGGCTCTGGCATCATTTTTAAAAACCTGTTGCCGTGTTCTGTGCAATGCTCTGAAAAGCTTCAAAACCTGTTAACAAAATACAAGTCAACAATAAATGTGTTTTGTTTGTTAATAGGATTTTTTAAATAAAATTAATACTTTTGCGATTAAAAAGGTATTTTGTTTGCATTCTATTGTTTCCTCCACAGCAGCTGGAGACGACTCATTCTGTCAGCAATGTAATCTCAATTCTTGATCAGACTTTTTTAAGATAAAACAGAGATATAGAACACAGAAGAGATGACAATTCTGGATATCTTAAATACAGCAGAACCTCAGAGCTACAAACTGAGCGGTCAACCATACACCACATTTGAAACCGGAAGTAAGCAATCAGGCATCAGCAGATACAGACACACAGACACACACAGGCAAATACAGTACAGTACTGTGTTAAATGTAAACAACTAAAAAAAATAAAGGGAAAGTTTAAAAAAAAAGATTTGACAAGGTAAGGAAACTGTTTCTGTGCTTGTTTCATTTAAATTAAGATGTTTAAAAGCAGCATTTTCCTCCTGCATAGAAAAGTTTCAAAGCTGTGTTAAGTCAATGTTCTGTTGTAAACTTTTGAAAACAACCATAACATTTTGTTCAGCACCACGAACAACCTCCATTCCTGAGGGTACGTAACTCTGAGGTTCAACTGTAACTGAAGACACAAAAGAAGTTCTGGTACTATTTCAAGTCGCCATTTTGACCTCTATGGCCCTACTCCTGCAAACAGACCAGCACAAAGACACTCATGCCTGTAAAGTAAAAGTTTACAGGATATGCGCTTACAACTGTACAGTAAAAGCCACCCAATTAAGTGGCAATCATGGGTAACATCAGAGATTAGTTTTACTATTCAATATTAGATACTACACTACCAAAAACCTGGACCAGCAGAGACTACAGTTCTGACAGACTATAGTTCAATAGTTCTGAAATACTGACAGAATCAACTCAGTTACAGGAGAGTGTCATAAAACTGAATGAATAAGATGACCTCAAACACCAGCTTGGAAAGCTTATGTCCAAACATTACATTTTCAATAGAACCACTTAGTGTAAACATAAAAAAAAAAAAAAATGTACAGCAAAACCCATACAAGATCAGTAGGTATGGACATGTCTTTGGTCAGGAGAATCCACTCAAAAAGACTGAATTATATGATGCAAATACAGATACAAAAAGAGTTATTAAAATTATTATTATTAAAGGTTATTATAAGCATGCCTATGCTTTTACTGAATTTTAGTAGATACTTATAAACATCATATGTTTATAGAATAGGGTAATTCATATGCTTATGGTTTTGGTTGAAATGTTCATGCTAATTAAGGAAATTCCTAGGAAATCTCTGCTCTCTGTCAACCAAGGACAAGCACCAGAAGTGTCAGAGGAGGATACCTCCTTAGCCATAAAGCCATATTTATTACCTTCAAGTATATTTACACAGACTCTGGAATGCATCTTTAGAGCATCTAGTTAGTTTTAACATTCCACATTTTCTTATATAGACATCTTTCAAATTATAGTATAGATGTGTTAGTTACTGAGTTGTGCCTTGTATAGAATATTTATTAGAAGTGTTTAACAGTTTAGATGAGCTATTACCAGCAGGAGAGTGAGTTTGTGTGTGTATGGGGGTGGGGGGGATGTGAGAAAACCTTGATCTATGCAGGAAATAGCCCGACTTGATTATGTAAAGAGTTGTCACTTTGGATGGGCTAGCACCAGCAGGAGAGTGAATTTGTGTGGGGGGGTGGAGGGTGAGAAAACCTGGATTTGTGCTGGAAATGGCCCACCTGTTGATCACTTTAGATAAGCTATTACCAGCAGGACAGTGGGGTGGGAGGAGGTATTGTTTCATGATTTCTGTGTGTATATAAAGTCTGCTGCAGTTTCCACGGTAAACATCTGATGAAGTGAGCTGTGGCTCACGAAAGCTCATGCTCAAATAAATTGGTTAGTCTCTAAGGTGCCACAAGTACTCCTTTTCTTTTTGCGAATACAGACTAACACGGCTGTTCCTCTGAAACCTCAAAATGTAAGTGTACTACAAATGGTAGGTTTTAAATCTATGAGTCATTTGGTCAACCAAGAAGGGGACTGTCAAAGAACAGGGGACTTCCACCCTGTAGAAGATACCAGTTTGGTATAGACATGATTTTTATCTCAAGAAAACAAACATTGTATGATATTTATGTTTTAGAAAGAGACCTGTTTGTGTCAAAGAGTGAAGGCTTTAGTCAGGATACTCCAAAGGGAGGTGGTGCTTAGAATGTATTATCAGAGCTGTAAACTAAGTAATACAAGTGGGTCTCTTCATCCCACCTCTCGGGGGTGGGAAGCCCCTTAATTTTAAACCCACACAAAGAATTCTAAAAATATTCTTATTTAAACTGATTTCTTTTATAAACTCTCTAAAATCCTTATTCTTTAAATGTTAAGGAGAACTTATGTGATTGGGAAATGTTTTACAGAAGTTATTGGTTACTTCTAACCAACAGAAAAGGTGAAAGCTTTTCTTGTCCTCAAATTCCTAAGATGAACAACTTCTTCTGAGATGCAGATTTGCAAGTATTATATCTAAATGCAAGCATTAATGCCTGCACCCTAGTATCTTTAGCATACTGATCTACAGTTGATAAATGCAAAGTAATGCACATTGGAAAACATAATTCCAACTATACATATAAAGTGATGGGGTCTAAATTAGTTGTTACCACTTAAGAAATATCTTAGGAATCATTGTGGATAATTCTCTGAAAACATCCACACAATGTGCAGCCGAAGTCAAAAAAGGGAACAGAATGTTGGGAATCATTCATAAAGGGATAGATAATAAGACAGAAAATATCATATTGCCTTTATATAAATCCATGGTATTCATCCACATCTTGAATACTGAGCATAGATCTGGTCATCCCATCACAGAAAAGATATATTGGATATTGGAAAAGGTTCAGAAAAGGGCAACAAAAATTATTAAGAGTATGGAACGGCGGCCATATGAGGAGAGATTAATAAGACTGGGACTTTTCAGCTTGGAAAAGTGTCGACTAACGGGGGATATGATAGAGGTCTATAAAATCATGACTGGTGTGGAGAAAGCAAATAAAGAAGTATTATTTACACCTTCTTATAACACAAGAACTAAAGGTCATCACATGAAATTAAACAGCAGCAGGTTTAAAACAAACAAATGGAAGTATTTTTTTCACACAACGCACAGTCACCTGTGGAACTCTTTGCCAGAGGACATTGTGAAGGACAAGACTATAATAGGGTTCCAAAAAAACAAACAATCAAAAAAACCAACCCTCAAAAAACCCTACACCCCTAGATATTAGTGAGGATGGGCAGGGATGGTGTCCCTAGACTCTGTTTGTCAGAAGCTGGGAATGGGTAACACGGGATGGATCACCTGATAATTACCTGTTCTGTTCATTCCCTCTGGGTCACCTCGCATTGGCCACTGTCGGAAGACAGGATACTGGGATAGATGGACCTTTAGTCTGACCCAGTATGGCTGTTCTTATGTACAGTACAATATTAACAAAAAGAATGAGCAGTACTTGTGGCACCTTAGAGACTAACAAATTTATTTGAGCATAAGCTTTCGTGGGCTAAAACCCACTTCATCGGATGCATGCACTGGAAAATACAGTAGAAAGATATATATATATATATACACACACACAGAGAACAAGAAAAAATAGGTGAGAGCTCTCTCGTCGACGTAATTAGTCCACCTCAACGAGAGGCAGAAGCTACGTTGAGGGGAAAGCATCTCCCGCTGACATAGCGCAGTGTCGACACTGCAGTAAGTCGATGTAAATTACGTGACTGGGAAGGGGAGGGATTTACACCTCAGAGTGACCTAAGGTATGTTGACTGAAGCTGTAGTGTAGACAAGGCCTCAGGCTTACAGGCACAGGATAAGCAGCACCGGTGCTGCCCCCACAACTACTCCAGCATGGGGAATCGGTGATTTCTGAGGGCAGGCTTGAGAAATCAAGCTCAGGACTCCGCCATCTGCCCCAAGCTGGGCCTAAGCCTGTTACAGCACCTGGCCAAGCTCCCCTATCATCGCAGTGCGCTGGAGGCCGCAGGTACGGCGGGCGAGGGGAGATCATGGGCCTTGCCAACCCTTGTGGGGAGGGACATACCACGGCCCGGAGCCGCAGGACCCTGCCCTACGCAGCCTGTCACTGACTGTTGTTCATGCTCAGCAAGCGGGGCATCGCGCATGCGCGCTCACTCACCTCCGCCCGACTCCCCATCGCCGCAGTCGCAGGCCTAGCGGAACCACGCCCACACCCTCCCGACTCGCTCATGAGGAGCAAATCGGCAGGTCACATTCCAGCCTCTGTAGCGTCTCAGCACCGCCTCCTCTGCCTCCGCTAGGGAGCGGCGTGGCGGAGAGAACGTTACTGGACGTACCTGCGCCGAACGTTTCCTTGCGCTCCACTGGTGGCGGCGGCGGCGAGGCTACTTCCGGGTGCAGCGTGCGTTTGTGGCCGCTAGAGCCGTGTCCCCTGAACACTGGTTCCGGACAGGCTGTGCCCCGGAGCCGTGAGCTGGTGAGGGGCCAGAGGGCGTAGCTAGGCTGGCATAAGGAGAAAGAAACGTGATTGGCTAATAAATTCCCCGTGTTCTACTCTGTGGCCCTACGCAGGCGGTGCTGTTGCTGGGCTCCCCGTCCAGGCAACAGGCACAAGGCAGAGTCTGGGACCCCGCAGCGCTGCCAGGGATGCCCTGTCTGCCCAGCTCGGTACTGCCCGCCCCAAGCCTCCCAACGGCAGCAGGCGGGGCCCAGCAGCCACGAGATTGGCTAAAAAACATGAGATTTAAACCTGGTGGCTGTTGTTGGGTGTGGCCGGCTTGAGGCCGCCCTCTGGAAGCACGAGGGTTAGAAAGCGACATCTCTCCCATAACAACGTGCCTCCCGGAGTTTGGGCTTTAAGAAAAGCACCACACATTGCAATGTGGCTCTATGTGCTACTGCAGGCTGCTTGTGCATAAATTAAACTGCACCTTTAATGCACGGGGGCCCATGCCAACTTGCCTGTACACCCGCTGAAACACTTGTATGCATGTCAATGGGAGTTGAGTCAGACCTTGAACTAAAAGTAGTGAGTTGCACCAAGCATCTGCAGGGCCCGATTAACCTTTTGTGGGGCTGGCTCCAAATATATCTGTGGGCCCCCATGAGGGCAATGGCACATGGCGGGGGGAGGTCAGTCTCCGGAGCGAGGGGTCAGCCAGAGGCAATGGGGTATGGCATGGCAGGGGAAGCCCCACTCTACCCAATGCAAGGGCACTATTTACAAACCAGTGGGTTGCCCGGCCGTGTGCTGCCAGCAAGCCCCTTCTCCTCGGGAGTGGGCCTATGCCACACCACACAGCTCCCCCGCCCAACACCCCATGACTCCCTATGGCCAGAGGTCTCACAGACCCACTATACCCTCTGTGCCCCCCAAGACCCACCCACAAATGCACAGCACCCTGCATACCACCACCCCTGCCCACAGCCCTACCACTACTGCCCAGCATCTCCCACAGAACCCCCACTCCCAACACACACACACATCTTCCCCACCCCTTCACAGCTCAGCACCATCCCCAGATTTCCCACAGACCCACTCCCCCAAGCCCTGCCTCCCGGCCGCACTCAGCAGCCCTGCTGGGAGGCGACTGTGTCTGCCGCGCTGAGCCGGCAGCGCAGCCAGGGCTGGTCCCAGGGCCGGTCCCAGGGCCAAGAATTGCTCTGGTCCCTCGGGAGTGGTGCGATCAGCCAGGCCAGAGCTAGTCCCGGACGGGGTCCCTCAAGACGCACTTGTCTGGAGGGGCCCAGCCAAGCCCTCCACACTGTTTCCCCCACCTACACACATACCAGTCCCAGGAGGCTCAGCTCCGGGGAGACAGGTGGGGCCCCACAGGTGGTGGGAAGCAGAGACTGTCCAGAGCCAGAGGTACACTGGGGTCCGGCCAGGGACTGAGAGGAGCAGGGATGGGGCCATGGAGCGGAGAGGAGCCCTTGACCAGTTGGCGGGCAGCCCGAGAGGAGCAAGTGGTGGGTGGGGGGAGCCAGAGGGGTCTTGGGGCGCAGTGCAAGCGAGCAGGCCAGGGCCCCTTCTGAGCATGGGCCTGGCTCCATGGAGCCACTGTAAAACCGGCACTGAGTAGCTGAGAACTGGGCTCTGTGCTGGGCTCTTTAGGTTTTGTATCCCATAACAGGGCTTCTGAGGGGGAAAAATATTTTTAATGAGATTTTAAATTACGTTGTTAAAAGTCTTCAGAGTCAGTAGAACCCTAGGGATCCTAAAACCACCAGATTGTAAATGACATGGAAAATGGTATAATTTGCTATTTTTTTGGTGAAGAAAACATTCAGTTTTCAAACTCGTAACTGGAAAGTCATCAGTTTCCAGCCAATTAACAGATTTATGTTGCACAGCTGCTTTTTACTCCCTACCCAGTGTTTAACTCTGCTTATACTTAATTTCCATTTCCTAAGAAATTGTGGTCATCTGGACAATTAAGACTTATTTGTCAGAACTGATTTGGGAGGAGTGTTTCCTTTTGTTTATAAAAAACAACAAAAAAATCCGGACATACATCCTTTCGTTTCAGCATGAGAGAACATTCAGATGGGTACTGAGGAAGAACCTCAGAGTTGAAGCACCTGCTGTATTTTTGATCATTGAAAATTACAGACACAGAGTTAAATTCTGCCTTGGAAAAATATTCACAGCTCCTCAGCTGACTTCAAGAGGAATGACACCCACTCATATCAGGAGTCAGGACTGTTTTGACTTCTCCATAGATATCAAAGATTCCTTTTAGTCTGTTTACCAACATTTGCAGCATATGCCAGTGGAAGTGATTCTTGGTTCTAAGAACTCTAGCACTTTTTGTTAACAGGAAAATTTAATGCATTAAGAATCTGCAAAAGGAGCTGAGCAATGAGGTGGCAAAATTTGCAGATGAGACAAAATTATTTAGGTTAGTCAAGGCCGGAAAAGACTCTGAGAAGCTCTAGAGGCACCTAACAAAGCCAGGTGAATAGGCAACATGATGCTGGTAAATCCTAAATGTAAAGTAATCAGCATTGAAGGGAAAAAATTAAACTACTCAGACAATTTACTGGATTCTAAATTAACTGTGTCAACTCAGGAAAAGAACCTGAGTATCAGACAGCTCTGTAGAGCTGTGCTCAATGTGCAGTTGTAGAAAACAAAGCAAACAAAATATTAAGAATGGGAGAGAAAATAATAGAGTATAGGAAATATTAAAATGCCATTATATACATCAGTGGTTCACCCTCACTTGGAATAGAGTGTTCAGTTTTGGTCACCATCTAAAAAAGGACATTGCAGAATTAGAGGAGGTTCAGAGGTGGACGATGGCACTGGTACGAGAAATGGAAAAATTCATACGGAGGGAGATTGAATAGAGTACTATTATTTACCTGAGAAAGGAGATGAGTAAGAAGAGACATAATAAAAGCATACAAAATAATATTATGGAGAAGGTAGACTGGAAGCATCTTTTCTTCATCTCACACTACAAGAATAAGGTTTCAGAGTAGCAGTCGTGTTAGTCTGTATTTGCAAAAAGAAAAGGAGTACTTGTGGCACCTTAGAGACTAACCAATTTATGTGAGCATAAGCTTTCATGAGCTTATGCTCAAATAAATTGGTTAGTCTCTAAGGTGCCACAAGTACTCCTTTTCTTTTTACAAGAATAAGGACGCTGAAGCTGAAAAGTAACAAATTCAAAACTGATAAATTCTAGTTTACATACTTATATAGCCCCCATTACTGTAGTAGCTGAGTACCTCACAATCTTTAATGTATTTATCCTCACAGCACCCCTCTGTGGTAGGGAAGCACAATTATTCCTATTTTACTGATAAGGAACTGAGAGATTAAGGCCCAGATCCTCAAAGGTATTTAGGTGTCTGATTTCCATTGAGTTCAATGGGAGTTAGGTGCCTAAATACCTTTGAGGATCTGGGTCTAAGTGACTTGCTGAAGGTCATGGAGGAAGGTTAACATAGCAGGGAATAGTTCACTCAAGTAGCAGGCTAGTAGCCTGACAACCTGACCATCCTTCACACAATATGTAATGTGACTGTGGAACTCTGACATAGGATGACATTTCTGCTAGGACTTCAATAAGACTGAAAGAAAGAGTGGACATTTATATGGATAGCATGAGTTTCCAGAGTTATAATAATTAATGCTAAAAAGTTGTTTTGGAAGGGATATAAAATGTCATGCTTCAGGGTTTTAGCCATGTCCAACTATTACACAAGGCTTTCATAGGGGCAGAATCTCAAGCATCTATCTCCCTACTGTGGACTGTCCTCTGAAGCATCTTGAAGCATTTTGGACTGTCCTCTGAAGCATCTCGTAGTGGCCACTGTAGAGACAGAAGATTGGACTAGATGGATCACAGATCTGATCCAGTATGCCTTGTCATCACACCAAATAGTTCTTTATTTCTTTGCTTGAGACTACCAACTATGGCCCCATTCCTATTCCTACAACTGTCTCTACAGAGTTACCTTCTGTGTCCACTCAGAGCCCCACTGAAGTCAAAGTACTCCTTGCAAGCACAGGGGTTTGCCTATGCAGAGCCAGTTGCCAGATTGGGGCTTATAAAATCAGTTAATACCAATTGTCGTGGGGCTGGTTTTTATTATGTGGACACCTCTCCAGTAGGAAGAGAAGTGAGACTGAGAGCTCACAGATCATCAAACAATCCTATGGATCATCAAACAAATGATAGCAGTTATAGGATGCTGGCAATTGCACTAGAAACAGAGCAGTGACTGAGAGGTAGAAAGCTCTGTCATTTCATTAATTCTCTATTAAGCCATCAAGTGACCCTATCATCACCTTTTTCTGAGAAAGGGAAAATGTTATTACTTTTCTCCTTCTCACATCAAAACACCTGAATCCAGTGATTGACTCCATATGAGTCTGATTATAGGAAAGCATACAATGAACCTAAAGGTGTCTCGGTCACTCCGATTTTCATTCATTGATGCAATTTTTAATTTAGAAAATTCATTTCTCTAACAAAAATAGACAGTTCTCTTTCTAAGATATGTCAAACTTTATAGTGTGTAAGTCATTAAGTGTTGTATTTGTAATGTGTTAGTTAAGAATCAGTTGTTATTTTCTTTATATACCTAATATTTTTAGTGGTTTATAGCTGAGTTAAAAAATTAGCCAAAGGCTGAATCTTTTGATAGGATTAATTGAGGATGGAATAGGAACTGTAATTCCTTAATCATCTTTGCAGCTTTAAATTAGACTTTTTAAATTTAGATAACTATATTCCTTTGTTTAATGATAATTGCATACAATATATATGTAACAGTCTGTCAGCATTTCCATTATCATCTTCTCTTTTCAGGAGATTATTCCCTTTGAGGGAAATTTACTTTGCGATAACATTTGTTAAATAGGAGCAGATACATTATTTTAACAATTTATTACTAACGCTGAAGGAATAATTTTTAATAATCATGAAATTTTTTTTGGAAAACTTCCTGAAATATGTTGAATAAATTATTCAGTGAACATAGTCCTGATCCTGGAATACGATCCACTAAGAGGTGCAAGAGTAACAGCCGTGTTAGTCTGTATTCGCAAAAAGAAAAGGAGTACTTGTGGCACCTTAG